GATAGTTTTCTTCTCAGGCTCCAGTTGCATAGAATATTGTTTTTTCTCCTTTCACATTTAGTCTGTGGGCTTCCTTTTAAATGAGATATGTCTCTTATTGACAGCATATTGCTAGATTTTGTTTTATGACACAATCTGAAATCTGAGTTAGAGTTAAAATAGAGTTAAAACCATTGACATTGAGAGTTATTACAAGTATTCACTGAATACTGTCATTGTATAATTTCCAGTGCTTATTCTCTGATTTTTTCTTTTATTTAACTACTTTTATAGATGTATACTTGCCTTTGGCCTTTTTTATGTTGGTAGCTTACCTGCCTCTGTATTGGATTTATTTCAGTATTTTCTGCAGTGCTGGATTAGTAATTATGTCTTTTTGTGGAGGTGGGGCATTCTATGTCATGTAAAGTCTTTACTTCTCCATCAGCATTGAAACCTAATTTTGCAAGATATGGAGATCTTGATTGTTAGTTCTTTCTTTTAGGACTTGAAAAACTTTCTTTAAGCTTTAGGTCTTATGGCAAGACATTGGCTGTCATTTCAGTAAATTTGCTTTTATAAGTAATTAGCTTCTTTTTCTCTAATAATTTTTAGTATTTTTTCCTTTTGTTGAATTTTTGTAATTTTGATTATGATGTTTTATGGAGAGGTTTTTCTCTGCTTTTGGCTTTTATAGATTCTATAGACCTCTTTTACTTGAACATTAAACATTTTTCTACATTTGGAAAACTGCTATCATTTCAGAGAAGAGATTTTTTATACCTTTTTGTTGTCCTTTAATTTTTCCTTTATTTCTATAATTCTGATTTTTAAAAGTCATCTAATAGCTGTTGGATCTAGCTTGCTTGGTGTTAACTTTTTATGCTATTGATTTCATGATCTACTATATCCAATTTATTTAATTTCTGGTAGTTTGTGTTAACATTGGCCATATGTGTTACCTATGCTTCTTTTTGAATTTTTCAAATCTCTTATTTCTGATTTCTTTTTTCATAATTTCTAATTCTTTATCAAATAGGTATTCATATCTTCTACTGTCTTGTTTAATTCAATTAGTTTTTTTCTTTCTTCTTTCAGCATTTTATCATTGTATTAGTAAAAGCCTTTATCTGTTTAATTCAATCTTCTTTAAACCTGTTAATTTAAATTTGCTTATTTGTTTCTTCTCTGATCTGAGGAGAAAGGTATTGACATGACAGAATAAATAACAACAAAGTACAATTTAACACCCCTTTCAATAGAGATTTACAATAATAATGAAGACACAGTGATGAACCACATGTTAACACAGTAAATTTCAACTGAAAAGTACAACTATGACATCAATAATAGAAAAGAATTTAATAATATTATAAAGGTAACTAAATAGATAAAATTTAATGAAGCTTACTTAATAAAGTAATAGTAAAATGGAAGAGGTGGGGATGAATAAAATGAAAGAAGTAAAATTTGAAAAAATAAGTTAAGAAAAGCGAGATAAAAATCCAAGTAAAAATATAGAGTTAATAGGTGTGGTGACTGGTGTCAACTTGGTACACCCAGCTGAATTAAACTATCCTAGTGTTGAGTGTGGAAGGCCCACTGAAGATTGTTGCCAGCAGAATAAAAGCAGAACAGGAGAAGCTGCTGGAATAGTGTTAGGAATGCTGTTTGAAGAAGCTGTTGGAGCTGTTGGATGCTGCTAGTTCTCTTGGGCTGCTCTGCTAGAGGACCTTGTCATGTTGGCTTTCCCAATGAACTTTGGAGGAGCTCTGATCTTCATCTTTAGCATTGCTTCCTGGCTCCAGAGGGAAAGATGTTGTGTTGCTTAGCCTCATGGAAAAGCTTGTTGCATTGACTTTCCTGATTGGAGCTTAGCTTTCTTTATTGCTAGAGGAGCTTGAGACCTCACCTACTTCAGACCTCTCAGCCTGCTAGTACAAAGCTTTCATCCTGCTGACATAGACTTTCTAGCTCCCACCACTGACTTTTGGCTCTTTCTGGACAGATCTGTGAAGTAGGATCTAGGCCTTCTGCTGGATGCTTTAGTATTTTGTGTGTGGATAAATTTCCTGCACTTCTTTATAATTCTTGAGTGATTCCTTATAAACTAATATAAAAATGTGTGTGTTGTTATATTGTTGGCATTGCAAAAACCCCAAACTAGGACAATAGAATTAGGTAAAATAAGAGAAAAAATTCAAGAAAAAATAAAGAGAAAAAAGGGAAACACTAGCCACCTTTAAAAAAAGAACACACACACACACACACACACACACACACACACACACACACCCCAAAAAGAAAGAAAGAGAAATGACTCCAAAAGAATATAAAATATTCCTCTAGGTTTTGGTTGAGCTTTTGAGGAGCTTTAGTTTCCTCAACTCAGGTTCCACCAGTTGTGGTGGAGAGCTAATGAGTCACAATTAGGACTTGTTTTGTTTCCATGCCAACTCTTTGCTGTGAAAATACTGAGTCCTGCCTCATTTTTCTGCTGGGCAGGGTCAGTCAATGCTGTTGTGTCTGCCTCAAGGCTGTATTCACTGTATTCACCCAAGTCAATGGTAGCTATGATTAATTGTAAAGTCTATGGGCTTGCCTGACTTCAGAGACTCTGCTGTCTGTACACTGCCAGATATAGCAAGTGTCCAAGACAAGATGTACCCCTGATCATGTTGGCAGATCAAGAAATCAAATAGACCACTGCGTTCTGTGGTGGAACTAGGCTCCGAGTGGTGCCAAGCTGTCGGCTGGACTCAAGGCCAACACTTTTGAGCCCATTTCCCTCAGAAAACTAGCAAACTAGCCTGACTTCCTATCACATTGGTTGGGGCCACTGTGTCCTTTCTATGCTGAACTTGCTGATGCCTAAACTTCTCTGGGGGGGGGGAGTCTATGACTGTCTTACCTCACCTTGCACCCAGTCTCTGTGGTAAGGTGACCTCAGAAAACTTGGAGTGTAGTTGTTCTGGGAGCTTTGATTTCTCTAGTATCTCAGTCACAATAAACTCCTTTGAAACATGCTCCTGATCATATCACTCAACTACTGCTTTATTTCTGGTGACCCAGACAGCATTATTTCTTTACTTCATTTGCAGTATATATTTTTCCTTACTAATTTCTTCATCCATGAAAGAATGAATCAAATAAAAATGTCATTATCAAAATTTTACATTTCTTTTCTTTTTTTTTACTCTTAAAATTTTTCCACCTTTCTAATATAATAAATAGTTATGCAGAAAATATTTTTGACCTTTCTGAGCAAAAGTGGTCTCTTAAGTTTATTTTCTTTGGATACATTCACAAGAGTGAAATTATTAGATAAAAAATTGTGAACTATGACTACTGACTTATTTCTAAAGAAATTTAAACCAAGTATGGTAGGATTAACTCATTAACCAAAAGCTTTCCTTATTTAATGATGCTAACACTTACATAATAGTGCTTTATTAATATATGATTATGGTATACCCACATCTTTGTCTTAAGAAGTAGGCATTGTATTGTAAAATGAGGTGCTAATAATTAATTTGTCTGTATTTTAATGGTAGTGATTTCTAGATACAGATACAACTATTTTTATTAATTCTGTATTTTGGGGGGTTAACCATGCCATTCTATCATTTTATATGCATAAAATTTTCATAATAAAGCTCTGAGAAATATTTGAAGGCATAGCAAATAACTTAAAGCTATATAAGCAGAAGATTTAATTTTAAAATTATTGTCAGATTTTCATATAGTGAAATATTTTACTGCATTTAATTTTCCTGAGAATTGGGAAAAGGATCATGTTATGCTTTTGGTATACTCAAGGTGCAATACACTCTAATGGGTAAGATCACAAAATTTAAAGCTACAACATCTGAATTTAAATCTCTGCTCCACCTCATCATAGCTCTGGGATATAAAAATATACTTTACTTTTTTAGCTACATTGTTTCCCTATAAAAATGAGCATAAAATATGTTTGAAGGTATCTCATCAAAGCACAGAATAATATATGGTATTATTGACAGAGAAAATTTGACAGTTCCCAGATGTGTGGTGTGTAGCAGATAAATAGAAATTTAGCTATTTCTACTCTTGTACTCTGTCATATTTTTCATATTTTAAAATTTAGAACTCTTATTAATCAGATCAGTTGATGTTTTCATTTTATTCTTTTGTTTATGGGTGATTAGAAATATGTTCAACATATATAGCCTTTGGAAGGGGATTGGATAAAGAATATACCAGAGATATTTCTTTAATTTTGGTTTGATTTTTTCAATTTTTATTTATTAGTTCAAGTTTGTACTACATAATGATCCCATTCCTCATTGGCACATGTATGTAACATATCTCATTTCATGTTTTACCCCCCCCCTTTTTCTCTTTTCCTCCTTCCTTCCATTTCTTTTTCCCCCTTCCTACTTGGAAAAAACCTATGTGCCTATTTTTATGTGGTTTATTTATAGTTTGAGTTTCTCATATACAAACAACTGTGTGATATTTGCACTTGTGCATTGAATTATATCACTTAATGTTATGGTCTCAAGGTATATCAATTTTCCTGCAAGTGACTCAAGTTTATCCATTTTTTCATGGCAGAGTTCTACTCTACTATGTATAAATACATTTTCTGTATCCATTCATTTCCTGATGGACATATAGTTTGCTTCTAAGACTTAGCTGTTGTAAATTGTACTGCTATAAATGTGGGTATGAATACTGTATCACTATAATATGATATCTTAAATTCTGAGAAAGATACTTAGAATCAGAATAACCAAGTCTAATCGAATTTCTAGTTTTCATATTTTGAGGGATATCAATACTGAGTTTCATAGTGGTTATACTAGTTAACTTTCCCGCTGACAATTTAGAAGGGCTCTGTTTTCCCTATAGCCTGTGAGCATTTTTTATTCTTTTATTTCTCGATGTTTGCCATTATTCTAGTTGATGATAGAATTGGTTTGAATTTTCTTATTCTCTTGAATCCTTAATTTTTTATTTTCTTTTTTCTTATTTTCCAGGTTAAATGCAATTATAGAAAATTTGGTAAGGCAATTGAGTATCTCTACATCACAATGGGGTCCACAGTGGAAAACAGTACGTATGTAAACAAAATATGGGTTCAGTGTGAGAATGAAAATTGTTTGAAATGGAGGTTGTTGTCAAGTGAGAATGCAGCCAGTGTGGATCACAATGAGCCATGGTACTGCTTTATGAACTCTGATTCAAGATATAATAAATGCTCCATTTCTGAAGAAGACTTTCCTGAAGAGTCTGAGCTTTATGAAAGTGGATTTAAGATTGTCTATTCACAACTACCTGCTGGAAGTTTGGTTTTAGTAAAATTACAGAATTGGCCAAGGTAAATTTTTTGTTGTTTTCAGCTAAACTGTTGTTAGTCTTGTTAGATGTATGATTTTTAAAACATTTAATTTATTTATTTATTTGGTACAGGGTCATGCTACACAGCTCGGACTCATAGTGATCATCCTGACTCAGCCTCCACAGTGCTGGTATTGCAGGCATGCACCTCCACACCCAGTTTTGTAGGCTGGCAAGGCACACCTGAGGTCCAGTGCCTATGCACCATGTAGTGCTGGGGACTGAACCTGGGTCCTTGTGCTTGCCATGCAGGCACATAGATGACCAAGCTATTTCCCCAGCCTCAGATTTATGATTTTTAAAATATTTTTTTGAAAGTTACCTGTTTCTGTTTTATTTACTTTTTTACTTATTCATTTCTGATATTATTATTTTCTTCCTACTTCCTTAGGTTTAATTTGTTCTTTTTTAATTGCTTAATTTGGAAACTTACATAATTGATTATAAATTTGTTACTTTTTCAATACTGACAGTTAACTCTATAAATCTTTCTTTGTTTTGTATTTTAGGGAAGGGTCCACAGTGTGCTCAGGGTCTCACTACTAGATCTGATTTGTAGTGATTTGTCTATTTACAGCCTCGCAAGAGCTGGGATTATGGGTGCGTGCCACAATGCCAAGTCTCAGTAGCTGTCTCAGCACACCCTGGGGGGCAGGGCCGCACTGCAGGCCTGGGGATTGAACCCTTGGCCCCTGTGCCTGCTTGCAGGATCTTTAATCCACTGAGCTATTTAGCTGGCCCTTTATAAATCTTTTTCTAAGTACTGCCTTTGATGCATATCACACATTGGAATATTCATTAATTCAATTTGAAAGCAACTAGTTTTCTTTGTGAGTTCTTTGGAACAATTCTTATGTGTGTGTTTTGAAATTGTTAAATACTTGGATATATATATATATATATATATATATATATATTTATAAAATCTATGTCAATGAGTTTCACTGAGTTTTACTTTAAAGCCCATAAGGGTGTATATTATAAAGATTTCATATGCAGTTAAAAAGATTGTATATTCTATAATTGTTACCTAGATGCCTAAAATATATTTATTTTTCTTTAGATTTACTAAAATATTGCTATTTCACAAAAAATAATTTCCCAAAATATATAGTATGCACTTCTAGTATATAATGGCAAGTCTTATTTTTGGCCTTTTTAAAATTATAAGCTATTGTATTTGTTCTCTCATATGGCTTCACGTTTCTTATTTCAGAACTCTGTTCTTGTGATACATTTTCTTTGTCTTGTTTTTAAGTTTTTCTTGTGTTATTTTTACCTTGCCAATTCATTTTAAATTTAATTCTCTTTTATTCCCATATTGTCGATTTTGAAAGCATTACCAGTTACTCTTATACTTCTTTCAATTTAACATTCTTTACAGAAATTTAAAAAAATTATGTCTTTTCAAATTTTATCAATCATCTTTTTAAATCTATTCCAATTTATATATTTTAAATACCTACATTCTTTTCTTTCTTTATTTATCATAGTTTTTACTCTTGGATATAATATTTTGACCTATTTTAAGATCATGCTGGTGTGAGTTCTTTGTTTTTGTTTTTTTTTTAGAGGTATTATTCATTGTTACCATAATAGCTGTTCTTTTTTTAAATTAATTTTTTGACAAACAAATAGCAATGAGACAGTTTCAAAACCAATTAGTAGGACAATTTCAGTAATTAACACTTTGCATATTGTTGTCTTCATAGTGGGTATTCATAGTATAAGATTCAGACATAATATCCTGTCCAAACACTATGAGTACAAATCTCTCTTCTCTTTGAATTTTGAGAAAGTAGTTGTATATCTATTCCTAACTATTTTGTATATACAGATACAAAATGGTTCTTCCTATGTATCCCTCTTTTTTTGTTTAGTTTTGTCAGAGATGGGTATTCCGTTGCCATTTAAATATTGTAGTTGTGTGAGTTTTTGATTAGTTTGTAGTATGATACTTTCTTGTGACATTCATATGCATACATACATATATATATATATGAATGTATATATATATTCATATATATATTACATTACAAAATACTAGGCTTTGTTGTAGTGTGAATAACATATATTTTCATCATAGTCATTGTCCTTATTGTGTGAAATTAATTCCTGTTCTTTGAGAAATTAAAAAGTCAGAATAGATATGTTATAGTTTTTTTCTTATTGAGATTAGATCATTCCTGTGGTTTTGCTGTTCTTTTTTCTTTTTCTTTTTCTCTTTCTTTCTTTCTTTCTTTCTTTTTTTTTTTTGTGGAACCAGGGATTGAACGCAGGCCCCTGCGCTTGCCAGGGAAGCACTTATTCTACTGAGCCATCTCCCCGGCCCCTGTTCTTTTCTTTTTATTTATTTATTTATTTATTTATTTGGTACGGGATCTTGCTATGCAGCTTGGACTCATAGTGCTCCTCCTGTCTCAGCTTCCCCAATACTGGAATTACAGGCATGTGCCACCACACCCAGTTTTGATGGCTGGTGTGGCGTGTGGTACTGGGGATTTAATCTGGGTCCTTGTGCCTGTCAGGCAGGTGCTTAGACCCCTGAACTATCTCCCTAGCCCTGTTCTATTCTTTGAATTCTTCTCTGTCATATTCGTTTGTCAGTTGGAACTATCTATTGAATTTTTTATATTTTTCATATTTTCAGTTATAAAATGTTCACTGTTTTTCGTTTGTATCTTCTCTTTGTTTTTTTATAATTTACATTTATTTGGAAACAGTTAACTCTGTTTATGACTACACTAGAAGGATTTTTTTGGGAGAGAGTGACTCCTAAAACTTTTTGGGTATTGAAATAAACTTTTCTACCCAGTCTATGCTGATTTTTAGGGAGTCTAGGAGTCCCTACTTATGACTTGGTAGAGGTGGGGATTCAGGCTCCATGCTCATAACTGTGGTTCAAAGGAGCTGTTGTACCTTATTAATGCTTCCAGGTGACCTGAATTAACACCATGGGAAGGATTTCATTTTTACTGAGTTGGTAAAAATCTTTCTTTCCACAATTTTGTACCACGAACTCAGTAGGGAAGAAGATGGTTCATTCTCCTGTGTCCCCACTCAATAATGGTCTTTCTTACTGAGAGCAGATGTGTTTGTCTGGGATAGAGAAGTTACTGTGCACAAGTTTTCTGTCTTGCTAACCTGCCCTACTTCTACTTTCTTAGCTGAAAGGATCAGACTGTATGTATTTTATGCTATAATTTATGCTGATTTTGATACTATAGTCAGGGTCATGAAACTGTTGCTTTGTGTGTGTGTGTGTGTGTGTGTGTGTGTGTGTGTGTGTGTGTGTGTGTAGTAGATCCCAGTATCTGCACTGGCTTGGAATCCTTACAAAACTGTGGCCAGTTCCTGGAGTACTGGACACTGAGTCAAGTACAGTGCAACCTCCCATCTCAATTAAATGGAGATGAAGGGATCCTGGGACAGACAAAAAGCCAGTAGTTAGTCATACCTAAAGGACATCACTGGTTAGTAGATATTAACTAAAGGTGTCTCCATATTTAAAAGCAAAGCTTTTGCCTGTGATCAACTTAAAGACTTCAACATAAAAATTATCAAACAAACAAAAAATACATGAGAAGACAAGCAAGTAATTATGCCTCCCCAAAGCTGAACTTCCTCACACCTGATCCATGGCGCATCAATAAGAAACATTAAAAAATGTATCTAACAGATGATGCAAAGAAGATTAGAATTAGTGAAAATTCCAGAAGGCAGCACACATGGCATAAAAATAAAACACATTCACAGATATAGTGAAATTTTTTCAGTTAAGAATAAAAAATTTTAACATACAAGGAAGTGAGACATGTAGATCACCAAATAGCCACAATCAGAAATGTCCCCAAGGCATAAGATAGTCACAATTGCAGAAGCCAAAACAAGAGTAATATTTTAAAATTGTTACAGAAAAGTAATGAATTACTTGTAAAGTTAAACCAATTAGAATTGCAGCATACTTTCAACACATATCTTAAAGCCAGGAGAGCTTAAAGTGAACTGATTCAATTAAAAAATATTGTACCCAACATGATATATCCTGTAAAGTTATGTTTCAAAATTGATGGAAAAATAAGATACTTTCATGTAAAAATCACCTAAAGAAGTGCTTGACTACCAAATTAGCACTTAAAAAATTCACAAGGATATTTTAGAAAGAGACAATGAAGTTAATAATGACAAAACGTCTAATAGATCAATACACCAGTTTGATGAGCAGTTAAGTAGAAGGAAAGGATAGGCAATCAGCACGAAGAAAATAAGGCAAGGACAGGAATAAGTAAATACATGTCAATAATAACTTTCATTGTTTCTGTTATCAATTTCTCAATAAAAACACATACAATGGCAAATGGCTCAATAAATAAAATATGAAGATATGCTGCATAGAAGAAATAAACAGCCCAAATAGAGGCTCAAAGATTGAACACCAAATGCCAAATGATCAAAACCAATATTCTATGGAACACAGATCAAAAAACAAAACATACAGGTGTACCTATTTTATATTTAGAAAAAATGGATTTTAGACCAAAGCAGATGCCAATAATATAACTATATATTTGCTGAGGGAAACAACAAGGAGAGCTAAATATTATTAATATATGTGCACTGAACAGAGCACAACTAACTTTATTAAACAAGTGCTACAAGACATAAATATCAGATAAACATGTACCTAATTATAGTCATTGATTTCAACTTCCTACTCTCACATATAGGTAATCAGCAAGACAAAAATAACAAAGAAATATCAAAGTTGAATAAAATTTTCACATAAATAGACTTAATATATACCTACAGTGGTTCACCCAACAACAGATTACTCTTCTTAGAGCACATGAAACTTTCTCCAAAATAAACCACACACTAACTAATGAAACGTTAAAGATAAAGAATTATTATTAGATCATAGCACAGTGAAACAAGAAAATAGTAAAACAAATTACGCAAATGAATGGATATTAAATAACA